CTAAACAAAAAACAGTAGCAAGCTAAATGTAGCACCATATTAATAAGATGATAAATCATGACCAAGTGGGAGTAGCACAGAAATGCAAAGGTGATTCAACTCAGAAAAATCAATCGATGTAATGTACCACATTAGCAGAATGAAGGCAAAAAACACATGATCATCTCAGTCGACAGAAAAAGCAAAACAAAAAAAAAAACACAGCTTTAACAATTTATGTGTAAAACCAAAGAGAATATCATATATAGACTGAAACCCCCCACTTTTAAAAGCAAGGCGAGGGACCTGAACTGTCCCCACATCCACTGCTCTCTAAAGTCTGTTGGAACACAGCTGTGCCTTTTGGACACATAATGCCTTGGCTTGTTTTCTTTACTGTCACAGAGTTGAACATAGTGACTTGTAATCTGGCCCACAAAATCTAAGAAGTTTGTTGGCCCTGCCACGTGCTAGATGAAGATGAGGAAGAGCAGGCTGTGGGGGCAGAAACTTGGAACGTTTATTATAGGTCAGGCTGTGATTGCCACATGTAATATCCTATAGTTTTTTAACCTGACCACACTGAAGCATGAAGAAACTGAGGAATGTAACAGAGCTTGCTGCTGGGAAGAAAGAGAGAGTACGTTTCAGTGAATGACTAGTAGCTTTGGTCACAGTTCTGTTTTTCATAATCACTCCAACCAGAGCTACAGTATGCACCCATAGCAATGGTGCATGGTACAGAAGAGGACTTAGGAAAGAGAATGGACTGCACACACAAAATCAACAGAGATAAACTTTAAGAAGCTATTTTAGTTTTCATAAAAATCAAGAGCAACAATGGTAAAGAACGTTCTTAAACCAAATACATACATGCCAAAGCTATAGAGAACAGAAAAGTAAATAGTAATCAAAATAATGCTTGACCCTGAGGAACAAAGAAATCTGTCTGGGGAAAGAAATTAGAGGGGCCCTAACCACCATTGCTGCCTCTTGATCTGGGTAAATGTTATGGGAGCATGCATGCATGCATGCATACATAAATACATATTATATGTTTTTCTCAAGCTAAACAACATAGGATACAATTCCCATGTTTTTAACAAAGAGCCCAGAAGCAGAAAGTTCTTAATCTTTGAACACTATGAAAAAAATATCAGAAATGTTGACTATACCTGGCTCTTTTCCTTTTGGACCGCAAACCAGCTCACAAATCATGATACGGAGACTTATTATTAGTGTTGAATATTTAACCTTGCTTAGGCATGTTTCTGGCTAGCACTTTTAACCTGTTTCTCTTCATCAACTCTTGCCTCAGGGCTTTTCTCATTGTCTTTCTTTCTGTCTCTATGTCTGCCTGGCCTCTAGCCCTGGGCATCTCCCTTGTTCTCTCTTCTTCCTCTCCTTTCTCTTCATCCTAGATTTTCCTCCTATTCATTTTCTCTGCCCACCAGCCCTGCATCTTTTCTCTGTCTAGTTATTAGCCATTCAGCTTTTTAACAGACCAATCAGGTGCCTTAGTCAGGCAAGATGAAACAGATCCAACTCATCTTTACATAATATAACACACATCCTTACACCCTTAAACAAATGCAGCACAAATAAATGTAACACCACTTTACACAGTTAAAGTAATATTCCACAACATAAACAACTGTAATACACCTTTTCACAGTTAAAGTAATATTCCAGAGCATAAACAAATGTAACACACCTTTACACAGTTAAATAAATATTCCACAACAGTTGACTAAGGGATGGGCAGACAAACTCAGCTACATATAAGTAGTAAGTAGTCCCATACATATTTATACACAAAAATATAGGTATGTTCACACATGAATAAACACATGCGTTTATATAGAAACTTGCTTAGCCTATTAGCATTCTTCCTAGAACTGAGGTTTTTTAAAAAACTAAATAAATAAATAAACATCTTTGTAAGCATTTGTGTTTATAATTGTAAAGGTTTGTGTATTTCTGTGACTACATAAAGCTTTATCGTTGCTAACACACTTAATATTAAATCAGAATTTATCAAAGGAATAGATGTAGTTAAAAACTAACGTGTCTTTTGAAAATGTAAGTTTTAAAAAACTTTGAAAGTTAAAAGAGAAAAGTAAATGTGACCTATACCTGAGAGGCAACATTCTTGACCTTTTTGGGATCCATACCCTTCAGAATTTGATGAAAGTTACAGCCCTTCTCCCCACATATATATATATGCAAATTGTTATGCCTCCTTTTCCAAGGAATCCATATATTCCTGAAATACATTCTTGAAGTGGGGAAGTCCCCTGCCCTGGATCCTCTGAAAGTCCCTTTCTTCAGGTTCACTGTATCAAATATCACTTGTCAGAACCAACTTTTAACAGAAGTATCAAAACAAAAAAGACTAATGTTTTGTTCTAAAGTAGGAACTAAAGGATAATCATCATCTTTCCCTATCAGAATGTCCTCTTCCCTCTGTGCTCACCCACAAACCTCTTCGGTTGCTTCCCCTGCCTCCATTCTGTCTGTCCTAAATTCTCTGTAATATTAAATTCTCCAGGTTTTTTTTTTCTTTCCATCCTTAAGACTACCACCAGATTCATCTCTCCAGAATAGTCAGGCTCTGTGATGGTGGTGTTACAGTTTTCCTGTTCAAGCTAACAGACTAGACATCTGTCCAGCAGACCTGCTTGCATTTAAGCCAGTGTCACCCTCAACAGTTGTGCAGAGCTGGGCATGCGCTGATTTCCACCTTCAGCACCATAAGATGGGGGCAGTAAAAGGACCTTGGATCATTAAAACAACTGTAACTCAAAATAGTTATTAGAAAAGGTATCAACATGTAGTAGATTTTTAATAAATATTTTTTGAATGAACTATGTATTCAACCTTGAGATTTTTCATTCATTGTTTTTGTTAATGTAACTCCTTCAAGTTCCATGTTCTTCCTTTCAAACTTCTGCCTTATGTGTCAGAGTATCCCTCCCTTCTCCTACAGCTAGATACTGTGATGTCTCATGTCAATGTCTCACACTTTCATACTGCTTACAACAGCAATGAAAGATAATGTTGACAGCCCTCTCTGTTGCCTGGAAATGGATGCAGGCTCCTGCCTCACTATCTGTGTTACCTTAGTGCAGTCATGTAAGTCCTGTCAATTTGCTAACAAAATAATATTTATGGCAAATGTTTGTATGAAGAAAAGCAATTTCTAGAAAAGACAAACCTTGAGATAGAGAGGGACAGAGTACAGATCCAGACAGGGAGTTAGAATCAACTTCACATTTATCCAGAGGAGTCTTGGGAGAAAAGACAGATGATTTGTACTTTGGCATTTTAGGATCTGGTATTCCTAACACTCCAAAACTCACTGCATGTTAAGTCTATACTCACTTGTCTTAGGGTTTTGGGTTTTTTGTTTGTTTGTTTGTTTGCTGTTTGTTTGTTTTTTATGGCTGTGATGAGATACCATGACCACAGCAAATCTTATAAAGAAAATATGTATCTGGAGTGGCTCACTTCCAGTTCAGAGGTTCAGTCCATTATCATCATGACTAAGATCATGGCGGTGTGCAGGCAGATACTGTACTAAGAGTAACACATCTTGGCCAGAGGCAGCAGGAAGTCAAATGATAGTCACACTGAGGGAAGCATGAGCAAAAAGAAACCTCAAAGTACACCCCACAGTGACACAATTCTAACACCTCCTAATAGTGCCACTCCCATTGGGGGCCATTTTCTTTCAAACCACCACAGCATTCTTTCCTACAAGAAAGAGTGGATCTTCCCTTATAAGCTTTTAATGCTATTGAGGAACAGTTTCTCAGGAACCAGAAGGAAATTTTGGCAGAATTCTCATAGTCCTCCAAATTAAAGACAGAGATGTTGTATGTTGTTGAAAAGTAATAAATAAAACAAAAAAGAACATTTAAGTAGGGCTGATAGAGGCATACAGAGACTGAAGCAGCAGTCATGGAGTCTACATGGGTCCTCTGAATATATGTTATGGTTTTTAGCTTGATATTTTGTGGGACCCCTACCAGTGAGAGTGGAGGTGTCTCTGACTCTTTCATCTGCTCTTGAGACCCTTCTCCTACTGAGCTGCCTCATACAGCCTTGATAGGAGGGCTTGTGCCTAGTGTTGTCTGACCATGTTATGCCATGTTTGGTGGATATTCTGGAGAAGCCTGCTCATTTTTAAAGGAAAATGGAAGAAGAATGGGTCTGGGGGACAGGGGAGGTGGGGTGAGGCAGAATGGGGGAAATGAAGGGAGGGGAAACTGTGGCTGGGATATATATACGTATATATACATATATGTATATATATAAATTAGAGAGAGATTAGATAGAAAAAAGCAAAATAAAAAACTGCCTCCTTATTACTGTCATCCTTTAATTTAACATCTGGAAGTAAAAAGTAATGAATCAACTAATCAGTACTTCTTAGGAAGGAACAAGGCCATATCAATGCTGTAGATGATAAATTATTGCTTAGGAATATCGTAGGGCCCTACAATGAAGATATGTTACTTAGGTCTTTCACATAATACTTGTTGTAGTCCAATACTGAGTTCTTTAAAAGTAATGGAATATTTTTGTTTAATATTAAATGCTTTTAAAGAGAGTCCTTCAACTTGAAAGGTCTAGAGATGCAAGGTACTAAAGTTTTCTGTTTCATTAGCAAAAAGGTGCTTATTAATAGTTAAAGGGAACAAATTAAAACAGCTTACCTTCTTAGACATTTCCATAGTAAAGCTAAATCATCAGAAATATGACAGGCAAATGTGTCAAAAAACAAAATAACTTCTCTGTTATTGGACAGTTGAGTGTGTTTTGTTTGTAAATCACTGATATGTATAAAAACAAAGCATCATAAGGAATTTTTCATCTGCCATTGTTCTTTTTCAGGAGGAAAAAGCAGTTGGCTGTGGAGACTTTGGGGTGCTTCAAATAGTCTGCTTTGTTAGTTGAAGTAAAATTTATATTTCTTTCATTGGACACTCAAACTATTCCCTCTATTGTTTATGCAGAGACAGTGACAGGAGTTAGAAAAGATGCATCTACATCTCCTATGCCAACAAGAAGCCGTAAGGACCCCATGACCCCAGCTTCGTCATCATCCCAGCACACCACCTCACGGTGAGCCTAGGAGACCCTTGACTTAGTGTTCCCCTTAGGAGAATGTTTATAAGACTGAAGAAATCTTGAAATTTTTAGTGCTCTTGCTCTGGGGGCACTTATTATAAAGCTGTAGATTTGGCAAATTCATTGCAGAGTTCTTTTCTCCATATTCGCACTTCCTGAAATGATTATAACAGTTGGCAAGGGTTTTCATAGAAACCTAAAGCATTCTGTCCATAGAAACTCTGCTTAGCAGCAGGTCCTTCTCAACTGATTATGGAAGATAATATATTTGGTCTACAATTTTAGGTGTTAAATTCTGAAAATCACAGTGGACTTTGTGCTTACGGTATGTTTGTATCCACTTATGCCAGAGACTTTAGAAGAGCTAATAGTTCAACCAGCCTTTTCTGGAGTTAGAGAAAGAAATGTATTATTTTAAACTTCTTACATTAATATAGCGACTCACATTAACATTACACGCTTAAGATTCAATATATAGAAACATCAGTTTCAAAAAGACTTGGTTTATGTTTCCTTGGGGATAAGGTTGATCTGGGGCACTTAAGTCTCTCATATTTTATCACATGCATACATATTTTAAGGCTTTAATTTTTAGTTTAATTGCCTAAATTGTTAATGTCAAGGCTGGTGATTTCAAAGATATACTATGAGACATATTTTTTGGTTTGTGGTTTGTGGAAGGAAAGAGTTTTAACTCTTTGTTCTCTATAGAGCTATCTTTCATCCAAGTCTCATGTAAGTACAGTGCCTCAGAAGACAAACGTACACATTCTTGAGAAGCAATATTTGTTTGGGTCATATTGGCATGCACTTAATTCTGGGGGCAGAAAGATAACTACACAAAGGACCTGGGAAGTGACTTTGCAGAGGATAGTAAGTTGTGCTGCTGTCTTTTGAATGCTGTGTACCCAGAACTGTGCCACACTGCTTGATGTATCATCTAATTTAGTCCCCACAGCCTGTAGAGATAGGGCTACCCTCATCCCCATTTTAAAATTGGGAAACCCTGACTCAGAAATATTGAGTGTGTTGTGAAAGACCCTGTCTTAGTTTGGTTTTCATTGCTGTGAAGAGACCCCATACCATGACCATGGCAACTCTTATAAAGAAAACCTTCAATTGGGGTATCTTACATAGAGTTTCAGAGGTTCAGTCCATTATCATCATGATGCAGAGCTTGGCAGAATGTAGGCAGATGTGGTGCTGGAGCTGAGACTGCTACATCTTGCATGCAACATGAAGTCAACTGAATGTCTCACTGAGGAAAACATGTCAAAGCCCATCCCCACAGTGACACACTTCCTCCAACAAAGCCACACCTCCTAATAGTGCCACCTGCTTTGGGAGCCATTTTCTTTCAAACCATCAGAGACCCTTAGCTAATAAAAGACAGGGCCAGCATTTCAAAGTCCAAAGCCATTAACTTAAGTAGTAAAATGGCTAACATCATCAGCCTCCCAACTGTAAAGGTGACTAAAGTAATTAGCTTACCCGTATTTTTCCACTGGCCCCTTTCTTGGTTTTGGTGCTGGAATTGTTGGGATTTGATAGAGAAACAAGAGTTGTGATTCTGAAAAGTGGAGAGAGCGTCCTCTGTTTTGTGCTATGCCACACTGTAGGTGAAGCTTGTACTCAGAAGCTTCCCATCCAGCCCACGTGGATTGGTTTGGTTGAGTCAGAAATGGCTGATAGTCTAGATTTTCAATCTCAGTGAATTTTCTTACTGTTAATATTTAAATGGCATATTGTTGGTTAGTTGGAACTAGGGATCAAACTCAGGGCTTTGTACATGGGCAAGCATTCCACCCCTAGCACTAAGATGTGATTTTTAACACAACTTTAATATATTTGTGAAGGGTTAGTTTCAATTTAAAGGGAAGCATAAAAAATAGGAATATAATGTTTCTCTGTAAGGGTTTTGTAAAAAAAAAAAATTCTCAGCATATATTTTCTAAATGGACCATATAAGCATGATTAGTATGTTACAAACCCTGATTAAAATTATATTTACAGATGTTACAAAAAGGATAATTCATCTCCTGGTCCTTAATACTGCTGATCAGCTAAATATTTACAAAGCTCAGGGGCTTTGTAAATAATACGCAATAGGCTGACTAAAAGAAGGTGTACCACACCAGATCCGATCTTTCCAGGAGTGCACAGTCGCCTGTCATTGGTGTATTATTACAAAGTGCAGAGTTGAAAACGATTTGGTGCTTTGAAAGCCAGCTACCAGGACAGCACAGTGGTGCAGAGTATTTGAATCATTCACATATCAAAGTGTGCACTGGTCATTTTAATAGACTTCATTTTCATTACGCTAACTCTGATTCTTCCTCCCATAAGTCTTTAAAGAGAATAGATTCTAAGCCTTATGTGCCAAAAGTGTTTAAGGTTTATGAAAGGCTTGCAAAAGATGATGGCATATTTCAGTACTGGGGGGAGATACATTTTTCCTTTGTTCTTGGAAAACACCTAAAAGTATCCCATATCATTCCATGTACAAGCAAACAGTCATGGCAGAGTCATGGTTCCCATTCCTGATATAGGTTTTTAATTGTTGTCTCTGCTAGCTGTCAATATAAAGTGAAATTTTCATTCCCCATTCAAGATGGGGAAAGTTTGTGGCTGAAAATGTTAACATTTGCATTTTTATTTGTTGATTTATTTAAAGGACAGCCTCTCCTATAGCAATCCATCACTTAGTGACACCCCAAATATGAATAATGTATTGTAGACTTGCGGTTACAGTGTGTAATAAGTGCTTGAGACAGTAAAAGAATGTTAACTATGTTGCAAATGTAATATTTATCAACTCATAAAGTTTATTGCTTTTGAGGTTCAATAATACTGACCATGGGACATTAATATCACTTATCTTGATTTTAGCTGGGCAACTTTTATGTAGAAATATTCAAGTATCTCATGCTAACAAAATAAATATGTAATTTACAGCACAAGCCAAAAAAAAAAAAAAGCATTATAACCTTCCCTGCTGGAAGCCATCTTACCTGTGACTCATCATGCACCCCTTAGCTATCAGGTATGGTAAGGACAGTGGCTATCTTGGTCCAAGAGGAATGTGGTACTAAACAAGATGATACTGTTCCGTTCTGCTTAGTAAGAACAGGTGGTCCTGCACAGACCAGTCCACCTGGAGGGACTTTGTTCCCTCTCATTGTGAGTGCCATACAAGTATGTGGACCTCAGCTCCATAAGAAAGCTGGGGATGTTCTCTATTGTTCTGAAACTGGATCACTTGATTCTCTTTTATCCATCATGAAGCCAGAGATGGGCAGGTTACTCTTTGCTTCTCAAACAAATTGTTAGGAACACAAATACTACTTTTTAAATAACACAAATATACCCTTGTTCACCCTCCCAAACTGGGTATGTCCACTGCCAACAACAAAAAATAAAAGAAGTTTCTAACCACCAAATCCAAGGAAGTTGTTTATTAACCAACATCAGCTGTAATTGGTATGCACTCCATTAAGGTGGAGAATTATGTGTTTCTTCGCTGTAAATAACCTTTCTGATTATATAATTCCATTAAGCAGATTCTTGCATTAATGTAGCTTTGGATGTCAAATCTTTTATAAGGAGCCATACTAAGAGATACAGTGTTACACTGCTGTATACCTTTTGAGGTGACATGGTGCATTTCATATTGAAACAAAGGGCGTGCCTTCTGTGCTTCCTCACAGCAGCAGAAATGTCACTTTTTGACAATAGTGATGGAGTTTCTATTTCTCAGTTTTTTGACAACACAGACCAGCTCCAGTCCCAGGACTGCAGGATTAGTCCACAGTCTCTGAAGTACAAGGCCAGTGAGTCACTTCTCTGCCCTTCTGTGGCTCATTAAATATTAGGGCACTTACTCTTGTATATCTGTTTTCTTGTGGCTTGTAGAGAAAGGCAATCCCTATACATCATGCCCAGCAAAAAATTTGTGCAACTAAAGCTAGAGTCATCTCTTTCTAAAAAATACTATCTGTCTCTGTCTTGTTTTGACTATTTCTTTTCATAACAATTTGGATTCTTTTAATTTATTATAATTTTTATGTCTCTACCGCAGTTTTTCCTCCCTCCTCTCCTCCCAACTCCTCCCCATACATCTACTGTGTGTCCCCCACACCCATTCTTCCTTTTCTATTCAGAAAAGGACAGGTTTTTCATGGGCATCAACAAAACATGGCATATAAAGTTGCAGTAATATTAAGCACCTCCCCTTGTATGAAGGGTGAACAATATGAAGAGTAGGGTTCCAAAAGCCAGGGAAAGTCGGAGATGCTCCCACTGTTGTGAATCCCACAAGATGACTAAGCTACAACTGTCACATATATGCGGGGGCCTTGGTCCATCCCATGCAGGCTCCCTGGTTGACAGTTCACCCTCTCTGGGACCCAGTGAGTCCTTGTTAGTTGATTCTTGAAGTTTTCATCTGGTGTTCTTTACCCCTCTGGCTCCTATAGTACTTCCTCTCTCTCTTCAGCAAGATCCCCAAGCTGGACCTGTGTTTGGCTGTGAGTCTCTGCATCTGTTTCCATCAGTTGCTGGATGAAGCCTCTCTGTTGAAAATTGGGCTAGGCACCTATCATTGAGTATAGCAGAATATCAATAAGCATCATTACATTGACTTTGTTATTGTTGTTAGTCATGTTTGGTTCTATCCTAGGTCTCTGACCCATCCAGGCTCTGGTCCTGACACTCCAGGCATTTCTACCAAAATCCTCACTATAATTTTTTTAGTCATGCTTTATTTTTATTTGCACATTTACATAAATATTCTTAAGTATTCAACATGATTTTTTTCAAAAGTTTAGCAGAAGAAGTGGTTCTGTGCTATTCACTTGTATGATCACACAATATATATTATTGTAAAAATTTTTAAATACTTAGTTTCAAAATATTACATTCTGAAATATTCCTTTTTTAGTCTTTTCAAAATAATTTTCTTAAAATGTGAGCATGGAGCCAAGAACTATCTGCCT